CTTTAGACATCAGTAAATCATATCTAATATATTAAGTCATAAATAATTCAAATGATTTTCATTTTATAAATGACTTGTAAAATTAAATTAATGCTCGAAATAAAAAGATTTGATAATAAAATCATTGGAATAGAAATTAAGTGAATGGGAAAGGGATGAGAATGATAGGGGGAATGGGAGGGGAGTTAACGCTCACAAAAAAAAGAGTTGACATCTTTTCACTCCAGTATTCATAATATAATTATGAAATTTAATTAAATTATGTTTTTTCATTCAAACGAGTAGTATGTTTGCAAACATAAGAAAGATTTTCAATGTCTTTCCGCTATGTTTTCAATGATAGAAAACAATTGATAACAAAAATCAAAGCAACGTTTCATTTATAATAAAAATTAAAATTTATTTTCAAAAAATTAAATTATTATTACAATAACTAGTGATACAAAAAGCGTTATAATTATAATAATAATCATATAATAGATGAGAGCGATAGGAGGCAAATGTCTCCTACAAAATGTACAATCGTTTCAATTTTGTGTAATAATAATAATAATACATATTATATCAAAAACGAGAGAAATTTATTTGTGATTCACATTCAATTAGACACACATTAAGGAAGGAGTCAATGAATAGCTATTTATATCATAAATATGATGTCTTTCCCAGTAGTGGTTGTAGTACTAGTGTAGTGGCGATGGTTATGGCGGTTGTCATCACATCCATGTCCCCCTAACTATGCTTAAGTGGTGACTGAATGAATAGTTAATATGTGTATTTGGGATCACATCCTTATTTGTCGTGTATATATCGTGTGTATAAAAAACATAACACAATGCTCTTGGTTAGTGTGAAATGTCTATTTTTCACTATACATACGCTCATTAAGTGTATGCATAATATAAATATCTCTCTAATAGATGTCCAAAAACTTCAATATCACATTTGGGCTCAATTTAAATATTCGGAGTCATATATAGAAGTCATAAATAATTTGAATTAACATTTGTATGTCTCTCTTTTCTCTTTGCAATATATTTACAGCAATTGTATTATTATTATCATTATTAAGGAGCTGTGGGTTAAGAGAAAAGGTTTTTAATTAATTTTTCTCGTCTCCCATCAGATTTATATAGTGTTTGGTGTTGTCGTTGTTATTATAATATCCAGTCTCTCATCTAAAGCAAATAATATTAATAATGGAAATACAAACTATTAATATATATATTATATACACAATAAAACATAAGCTATTATTTGTTTCTCTACTCAATTAATAGAGAAAATTATTATTATATTTAGTGTCCTTTTCTCTCGTATAGCTATTATTGTTTTCACATTTCATTTCCTATTATTCATAATATAATAATTATAATTGAATTTTTGAATTCATAAATAGAAAAATGTTTCGCCGAGTAATAGTCGTCGCTTGTCATCACTTTATATATTAAATCATAGATATCTCTGTCATTTAAATATTATTTAATTCCTATTCACACGTAATATTAATAATAGTCAACACAACACACAGTCTTGTATTGTCTTTTTCACAGCAAAAAACCAATTATTAATTTAATTAATAATTAGATAGACATCTCAGACGGCTTTCATATTATTCACAGCCCTCTTGAACTCGAGGGACGCCCTGACGTCCGGGCAGTTCATGGGCTTGAGTTGACCCCTGCCGGGCGGCATAGCGTAGCGCAGTTTCTCCCAAAACCGACGGTCACCCCAATGGATGACTGGCACCGACCGGAGGCACATCCGGGTGTCGGCGTCCAATTCAGTCAAATTGTTTTTGTCTAACAACACGACCACAAGTCTGTGGTTTTTGTTACACTGGGACTCCTGGTGGGCAGCCTTCAGCTCGAACCGACACCACTCGGACTTCAGGAAGTGCTCCGAGAGTAAGATTATTGTCCGGTGGGAGCACTCGATGGCTTCGGTGATGGCCTCGGCCACGTACCCGCTCATGGGTAGGTCCCGGTAGCGTAGGCACAGCCGGTAGGGCGGGTGCCCGCACTCGAGCTCCGGGGCCAGTATTTGGGCGATGAATGCCTCGTCTTTCTTGCAGTACGAGACGAAAGAGTCAAACAGTTTCTCGGTCTCCGGCCCCGCGTACCGGCGCGAGTGGAACAGCCGTACGCCGTATTTGCTGTACAGCCAGACCTTCAGTTCCTTGCGGTACACACACAGCACCACCATCAGTAGGCACACCACGAGCACCAGGCAGAGGGCCAGTAGTATAAGTATGAGATAATCCCGGAGGAAGGCGTTGGGCAGGAATGACACGATTTGGCCGGTCGTCCGGTTGGGCACTACGGCTGTGCCGTTCATACTGTTGGTCACACACAGAGTGGTGTTAAACTCGGCGATGTAGGCGCCCACGTATGTCGAGTTCACAAAACACCGGATGTGGTGGGCGTCGTGCACTACCGGTGCGTACACTCGCGACCACTCCTGGAACTCGTCCATGAATTCGCATCGACACGACCACAGGTTGTTGGACAGGTAGACGGCCGCCAGTTTGGTGTTGTGGTTGAAGGTCCACATCTGGAACTCCACAATGGAGTTGTACTCCAAGTGCAGCACCTGTAGGGACTTGAGGTGAATGAATGTGTTGTTGTTGATGCTGTGGATGCGGTTGTGGTGCAGATGTAGTTCTTTGAGGTAATGAAGGGAATCAAACTCGAAGCCGTGCAGCACCTGTAGCTGATTGTACTCCAGGTGCAGCACCTCCAGGTACACCAACCCATTGAACGTACGGTTACTGATCTGATGAATATTACTGTTATTTAAATACAATTGTTTCATATTTTTGCGACCAATAAACGTATGACTCGTGAGGGTATAGATATCATTGCCGTCCAAATACAGCGCAGTCACATCCATGGGTATGCGGGCCGGTATGGCCTGGTACTGTTTGGTACTACAGTCAACCACATTGGTATTCCACGTCTGGTCATAGTAGCAAGTACAGTTCTCGGGGCACATCATCTCGCAGTCACAGGCGTCAAAGTCACAACAATGGCAGAGTGCGAAACAGTGGGACTTGTATTTGCATAAGAAGTTGGATGAGTTGGCTTTGGTCAGTGGGACCAACTGGTTGTGGCGCACGAATGGCAGGGAACACATGACCTGCTCCAGGTCCACTATACGCGGGTACTGTCGGGTGCTGGTGTCCAGGGAGTTGATCCTCTGGAGCCACTCCATAGTGCAGTCACAGTAGTAGGGATTGGACGACACGTAAAACTCTGGCGACTGTTTGTTAACAGTTATGGCTTTCAGTCGGAATGAGTTGATGTCGAGGGTCTGGAGGGAGTTGTTCCGGAGGTCGACGAACGATATGTTGTGTTTGGCCATAAACGTGAACTGATGCACCACACGGATCCGATTATCACTCAAATTGATCCGTTTTATGCGGTTAGGAATGGCTGAGCCGCTGATCTCTTTAAGCAGGTTATGGCTGACGTCAAACTCCTCGAGTTGTAGGGCTGACTCCAACTCGAAATAGTTGCCCAGCGTTTCGATCTCATTGTGATGTATGTCCAGCCTTTCCAGTGACCGGGGTATGAGGGCGTAGTCGAACCACGTGATCCGGTTATGGGACACATTCAGGTATTCCATGTTATTTAAGTTCATAAACAGGCCGTTGATATCACTCAAGAAGTTGTTCTCCAGACTAATCTGTCGGAGTGTAGGCGCGTCGTCAAACACGCCGTGATCTAAGGCGTTGATGCGGTTCCACGACAGGTCCAGGCGCTGGAGGGCCGGCAGCTCTTTCAGCGTACCTCTGGTCAGGTTTGTCAGCTCATTGCCGGACAGCTTGAGGACCATCAGGTGCTGGTGTCCGCCACCGAAAGACGAGTTTTTGATGACTTTAATGCCGTTATCGCTGAGATGTAGGGACCGCAGGGATCGGAGCGCCTGTATGGCCACCGGCACCTCCGACAAGAGGTTGCCATTGAGGTGCAGGTTCTGGAGATTACTGCAGTTCCTGAAGGCGTTGTCGTCCAGCTTTGAGAGCTCGTTGTCCGCCAAAGACAGGTCTGACAATACGTACAGACCATTGAAGGTAAAGGCGTTGACATTCTTGAGGCGATTGCCGGTCAGCACAAGAGTGTGGAGGTTGTAAAGGGAGGCAAAGGAGTTGTCGCCGATGTGGTCAATCTCATTGTGGTTGAGGTATAGGATCTGAAGGGAGTACTGGTTCTGAAATGTGGATCCATTCACGTGTTTCACGCGATTGTGGCCGAGGTTTAGCACAACCACTCGGATGAGGTCGGCGAACGTCTCGGGGAATATCCACTCCGAGCCGATGAGGTTGTGGCTCAGGTCTAGTATCAACAGTTTGGAGAGACCGCTGAACAGCCCGGCCGGCAGTACTGTCAATGAGTTGTTCTGCAGATGGAGTTCTTTAAGCTCTTCCGACTCGCGGAAAGTACGGGAGGGTATGGTTTGCAGCAAATTGTTTGACAAATCAATTTTGTGTAACTTCTTGAGCGCAGAGAATGACAACTCAGCCAACTCGGAGATCCGGTTGTTCTGAAGGTACAGCGCCTGTAGGCTCTTCAGTGACGCCACTCCAGTCTCGGACAGCACTTGGATGTGATTGTAGGACAGGTCGAGGCGTTGCAGCTCCTGTAGGCACAGCTGACCAGTGGCCGGATCTATGAGACCGAAGCTGCCGAAGTCGGACAGTCGGTTGTGGGTGAGGTTCAGGTGCTTAAGGCTGGCCAGTGGGCAGAACAGGTCTTGGGGTAACTGAGCGATGTAGTTAAAGCCGAGATCCAGTTTCTCCAGGTGCTTCAGACTGGACAGGGATTCGTGGGTCAGCGCCAACGAGTGGGCGCCCCAGTCGTTGTTATGGGTGCGCACCGACAGGTTTCTGAGCTGTTGGAGGCCGTGTAGGGCACCGCCGGTCAACTGCTGGAGCTTACAGTTCTCAACACTCAGGGCTTTGAGGAACCGGAGGTGACTGAGCGACCCGTTCTCCAGACGCGACTCAGACAGAGGGACGTCATCGCAGGTAATCTCAAGACTAATGGTGTGTTCCGTTTGGATGAGACTGAAGTTAAGGCCGGAAGGGGTGATTGTCCGCAACTGGCACTTGAGGGACACGTCGAAACTGCTCTGCGGGATGTGGTTCCACGTGCAGTCTCCCGGCGCCACGTATTGGGCCCCTTCACAGCACCTACTCGTGACGGTCGTCAACACTATGGCGATGATTAGGAACCAATTGGTGACACCCGTAGCACAACTAGTCATCCGTCGATGGCAATGATTGGCACATGTGTACAGTTTGCGAGCACCCGGTGCTGATCCCGCGATCATCGCACCGGTATTTGGTCCTCTAGTTACAGATCTATTGATTATATTTTGATTAATATGTCTCTTATGAGAGGCAGTAGTAGTCGTCGCGAGTGACTGACAACTACTGTCACAAACACCGACTGATGGCATCGTTTCAAACAGTTTCTCAACACTGGATGCCAATGGAGTGCACACTATGTTGTGTGGCACTGGTATGTGGGCTTCTCCGGTACTGTACCACCAGCTCAACGATAGAGTGATGATAGGCTTTCACTTAATTTTTGTCTCAACACACATAAAAACTCGTGTATCGGATGCCAACTGTGTTTCTGATGAAGGGGTGGCTGGGGGTCGACAGAGCACCGACACATACACTGACAGCACTTATTAGATGTCGTTTCCCCGAGTATTTTAAGTGTTGAATTCCTTATGTTTTTCCAAATATAAAAAACTTTTGAATTTTGTTTTTTCTCTCACTTTTCACTTTCCATTGGTTGGTGTCGATTGAAAAACACACGAATTTATTGTCGCTTTTTTGTCATCACTGGTTTGGCATCGACTCCCGGTTCCCGTCGGCACTGGTATGTCAATTGTATCGCTAATTGTATGATATCTGTGAATGAGATGAGAGAATAGAGAGAATTCTTTAGTCTTTTTTGTCTTATTTTATATTTGAGTTTAAAATAAAATAATAGCTGAGAAGAGACTCATTTCGAGCGTATTATAGCGCACACTGTGTTAAAGAGCACTGGGATGTGAGGCACATACACACTGGGAATGTCTGATTCACTAATGCATAAAAAGCATAATTAGAAGTTTGAGAACTCTATACAATTGAAAGACTATTTTTCAGTGTATATAATGAAAAACGAGAGGGAATTGAATCCTAGAAACTTATATTAAAAGATTTATAATGAGAGAGAGAGAGAGAGAGAGAGAGAGAGAGCGAGAGAGAGAGAGTCGGGAGAGACGAATAAAATTAAAAAACTTTTCACTCAAAAAAGAGGATTCTTTAGATTAAATGCATTGCAAAACAGAGCGAATGAATGAATGAAATAAAATTTCTCTTGAAATCAATTATTCAAATCCTATTTAGTGTGACAATCAAATCAAATACAAGTTCACGTAATACTAGGGAATTATGGGAATTATGTACAAAATAAAATTGTGAGACAAAAAAAATGGTTTTAAAGAATTAAATATAATATTAAGTCATAAAATATATTGGATTCATAGGCGACACAACACTTGTGTTGGCATAAAAAGTGGGCATAAATTTTATGACGACTTTTAGTGATACCTTAACTTAACTTATTATCCAAGAGATGGATATAAAAGTTTAAGCGAATTATCTGTTCATTTATGGCGAAGAGAGTGGTTGAGGGGAATGGTATGCATTTGGGGGGAAGTGAATAAACACCTCAAAAGGTACAGCACTTTGGGAAATGGTGTTGCAATTACTTTATGGGTTCGTTACTTCCATGAGACACAAGTACTGGTGTTATATGAGTGAGCGCTCAGTTAGCCATTGCTTTAACACAAAGACATAGTGAAAGAGTGGTTTGACTATCAAAGTGGTGGCAGTAATGAAGGGAATTCCATAGGCATCCGAGCGTTTTGTATCGCAGCACCGGTACTAAAACTTTATCACATGAGAGAGAGAGAGAGAGAGAGAGAGAGAGAGAGAGATGTGCGTAAAGGAGAGCATAGAAATCAATTTATTATGTTGTCAGCAGTCAGTGTACAGAGAGGGCAAGGGATCAGTAAAAATCAGAGACTGAGACAAAATTGAGAGCATTGTATGTGCGATGAGAAGTGGAAACCCATATAAAAAATAGAAATCAATTTATTATGTTGTCAGCAGTCAGTGTACAGAGAGGGCAAGGGATCAGTAAAAATCAGAGACTGAGACAAAATTGAGAGCATTGTATGTGCGATGAGAAGTGGAAACCCATATAAAAAGTTAAGACAAAAAGTGTCATCAAATCGACACTCAATGCGTTTATCTCTTTGTTTAATGTCTTTTGCATATATTTATTGCAAATCTCTGTGTAATGATTCAAAAGAGGCACACATTTTCACATTCAATGACTAAATGAAATTATATATAAATATGGAGATAATTTGAATTAATGTATTAATACACGTGTGAATCGGTGTATGAATGCCACCGCACCTACCATTTAAGACCTCATCAGCGCATATATTTAGCACATAATTAAACAGTGATCTAAGCCGTAGTAGGCCTTCAATGCAGTAGTCGTTTGTTTATTATTGAAATTATAACTCATGAGAAAATTGCTCAATAACAATTCAGTTTTAAAGGCCTCACTCGTCCGGGAATCACGGAATTAGCGCCTGTAGTCTAGCGTACAGTATACGCAATAAATATAAATAGTGTACAATAAAAAAGCTAACCGTCCATACGATGGCGTATATATTAGATATGCAATGAATCACTGACTCGAGTCGATCGGTAAATCATTTGCCATAAAGAGGTATACACTATGTATGTACAGAGTATATACCGGTACCGGGAATCGCTTCTACACTTCATATATTAGTTCCCAATTATCTGCGATTTTTTGGGCCCTAAATGTTATATAAATTTTTCGATGCATTTTGTAGGGCGTTCCGCGTAATCGCCCGGTGCTACCAAATATGCATATTATGTATGTGTGAGAGAGTGTGAAAAAATTACATTTTTTTCAAGATTCCAAATCTCTTGCCCTGAGTATCGAAGTGTGTATTAAAAGTAAATATATTTGGCTTAAAGTATTATAACATTTTTTCGGTACACTGTTTTCAATGACAAATATGCCGATAATTAATGGGTTCGTTAGCATAGGAAATATAGTTCACTATTAAGTCTGTAAACTATCTTGTAGATATATTATGTATTTTTGTGAATATAATATTACACTTATTTNCATTTTTTCGGTACACTGTTTTCAATGACAAATATGCCGATAATTAATGGGTTCGTTAGCATAGGAAATATAGTTCACTATTAAGTCTGTAAACTATCTTGTAGATATATTATGTATTTTTGTGAATATAATATTACACTTATTTTTTGTTACGATTACTTCCTTTTTATAGTAAAATATGTATTTTATTAGTTTTCGTAATAAAATTAACTATTATCTGTTGATCGCATAATAAAAATATTACAACTAATATAAAAGTTATTTAAAAAATATGCAACAAAACAACAAATGGTTTGCTTGTTTGACGTTTGCATTTAATACACAATTAATGAACACAAATAAAGCCAAAAATAAAAACATATTTCTGTGTTATTAAAGGCAGTGAATAATAGGAATACAAGAAACATATAAAAATCAAATCATAATTAAAACCAGTTATTGCAAAAAAATGCATAACAAATAATTATAATAAATAGCAATAAAAACATTTGTTATTGAAAAATAGGGTTACGAATTAAACAGCACAAAAAACTATTTATATATTACTACAAGACTTCACAACTATTTTGTACTTATAATAAGTTTTGTATATTTGAATAATAATGAAATGACTGGTAATGTAACGCAAGAAAAAATTAAAAATTAAAAACAAATCAAAAAACTTCTTATAATATGTATGGCATGGATATGAGGAACTGGCATACAGGCGCTGTAAAACATGTTGGAAAGACCTCGAATAGATTAGCCCCTGGAGGGCAATGAAAATAATAATAAATATAAGACTATAAGACGAAAGAAAATTAATTTATTTGAATATTAAGCACAAGAAAAAGGAAGAAAATGTTTTTCGCGTATATTTTATTATTCATCTAATGTTTTAAAAACATTTTTTATTAAACATAAAAAACAAAATATAACTTTTTTCTCTCCATTTATAATGAATTTCTCATTTAATAAGCGATTCTCTCATAGAAATACAAAATTCATTTCAAACAGATTTAGTTATTCATAAAAATTAACTTTTTATCCCAAAAACACTAAAAATTCAATTTAAAGGTAATATTAATATCTCGGCGCAAAAAAATGGCAAAAATTGTCATAAAATATATATTTATATCAAAATTCATTAGCGATTCAGTCAACAGTGGAATAACGGCTTTTGAAATATAAAAAACAACTTTTCAAAACACATACTAAAAAACTTTATTTATATTTCTATATACAGCTATAGACAGGCATATAAGGAATGGCATTATAAGTGCCTTTCGAGATGTGATTAAATAGTCGTATAATAGGAGAGAGAGGTAGAAAAAAGTAGTTAATAGCGCACCGGCAGTACAATACCTGCCAGTGCTCTATGCGGAAGGGCTTTAAGTGTCTGAATAGGGATAGGGAAGAGATAGGGAAAGGCAGCGCAAATGGCACACAACCATCTCTAAGCACATCTAATCTGGTTTTTAAAATATATTTATATATCTGTATGTATTGTATGAACAGAAAAAAGAAGTTTAGATAAAAAGAAATAAAATATAATCTCAAGAGTTGTGTGTTTTATTAAAAAGCGTACAAAAAATAGCTAATGTTATGGCATTTGGTTTGAAGTGCGGAGGAAAGACACTCTTAAGACTTTTGTTGGCTGAGTGTATTACTGATCACTATTACTTAAGTACACTAACGGGTCTGTATGACTGCACCGGTAGGATATTTCTTCGCTCGATTCGTTACATAACGAAAAATATTTCTTTTAATTTTCAAAGACTTCTTCACAAAAAGAGTTTGCTTTTAGGGATCTCTCTCTCTCTCTCTCTCTCTCTCTCTCTCTCGTACATCGCATCCACTTCTCTCTCATTTCAATTGAAAAGATTGTATTTTCTTAAGTTTGAGTAACGTTTCGACTGTTGTATACATTTTAAACTGGAGGCCCTCCGGGACTTCAAAGGAACAGTCGATGGCAGACATACCACTCCACAGTATATTTCATCTGCGAATGACTGGTTGGTTACCACTCTTATTGTCTGACATAATGTATTTTGCAGTGACAGTCACCGGTGCCCACCAAATGAGCCACTGGTGTGACAAATGCCTCAGTAT